ACTGTGACAAACACGTATCATCACAGAAGTGTATTTTTTTGTAGTGTCAGCTCAAACACGGGATCACCCTTGGGTGGAGGAGGATGCCCTAGAATTTCAACAGGCAAGTTGTGTTTCAAAATAGGTCCCTGTTTAAAGAATAATTCATCTATTTCCCTTCTTTCATTCATAAACATATCATTTTCATGGTCTAGCAAATATTGCTCTAAGGGATCATTAGGAGGCACGTCAATACAAGTAAGACCAATAATTTCATCTTTACTAGGCAATTCTTTATCATGGGGTTGTCTACGAAACTTAGCAAAATTAAACCCATGAGACATATCCCCTAAACCAACAGAAACAATATTCTTATTGCAGTCTATCTTAGAATTAACAATATTCAAGAAGGGTCTACCAAAAATAATGGGACAAAAGTCATCTTGTTGGGAACCAAGAACAAGAAAATCAGCAGGATATTTAACTTTTCCACACAAGACTTCAGCATCTCTAACAACCCCAACGGGTGAAATAGTGTCTCTATTGGCAAGCTTAATTGTAACATCAATTTCTTCTAACTCGGCATGTGCAATATCATGCATAATTTCTTTGTATAAGGAATGAGGTATTGCACTTGCACTAGCACCCATATCACATAAGCCATGATAGCAATGATCTCCTATTTTAACATAAATAACAGGCATGCCTACAACAAGTCTATGTTTATTTTTAGTATCAGGTCTAGCAATTCTAGCAGCTTCACTATAGAAGTAAATAACATGCCCATCAATATTATCGGCCAAGAGATTTTTAACCATAGCAACACTAGGTTCAACTTTAATTTGCTCAGAGGGAGTAGGTGTTCTGGTATTGCTCTTACGAACCATAGTTGCAGTTTAGCATGATCTTTTATTCTAACAGGGAAATGTGGTTTCTCAATATAAGCAGTGGGAACAACATGATCATTATAAGTGATAGTTTTTTCTTCAACTTTAATAGGTGCAACTACTTTTACTTCAATGGGAGGATTGCAACTACTTTTACCTCAATGGGAGGATTATATTTAAACCACTTCTCCTTAGGGAGATCAACATGAATAGCAAAGGATTCACAGAAAGAAGCTACTATCTCAGAGTCAAGTCCATATTTAGTGCTAAATTCACGGAAAGCATCGGTATCCATAAAAGATTTAACACAATCAAACTTGGGTGTTATACCTGACTCCTTACCTTCGTCAAGGTCCCAGTCTTCAGAGTTGCGTTTAATTTTTTCCAATAAATCCCATTTGAATTCAATAGTCTTCATCATAAAAGATCCAATACAAGAAGTATCAAGCATGGAGCGATTATTGAGAGAAAGCCAAGCATAAATTTTTTGAATAACCATTTCTTTTGACAGCTCATAATTGGGGCATGAATACAACATTGACTTAAGCCTCCCCCAAGCTTGAGCGATGCTTTCTCCTTCGCGAGGCCAAAAATTATATATATAATTACGATCACGATGAACAAGATGCATAGGATAAAACTTCTGATGAAATTCCAATTTCAATCGGTTGTAGTTCCATGATTCCATATCATCACATAGCCTAAACCATGTCAATGCCTCTCCCTTCAAAGATAAAGGGAAGACCTTCTTCTTGATAACATCCTCGGGCATACCTGCAAGCTTAAATAATCCACAAACTTCATCCACATAGATTAGGTACAAATCGGGATGCAATGTTCCATCTCCTGTAAAAGGATTAGTTAGCAGTTTCTCTATCATACCCGAAGGAATTTCAAAGTAAACATTTTCAGTAGGTTCAGTAGGTTGAGGAGCAACTCTTTTCTCTACTGGTCGGGGTGAAGATACCCCGAACAAGCCCCTCAAAGGATTATGTTCCATAGTAACAAGTGGCAGTAAATTTCAGCACACTATATAAATTTTTCCTTACCAAATTCCACCTACCAAAGGCGCTTCACTCCCCGGCAACGGCGCCAGAAAAGAGTCTTGATGACCCACAAGTGTAGGGGATCTATCATAGCCTTTTTGATAAGTAAGGGTGTCGAACCCAATGAGGAGCAGAAGGAAATGATAAGCGATTTTCAGCAAGGTATTTTCTGCAAGCACTGAAATTATCGGTAACAGATAGTTTTGTGATAAGGTAATTGGTAACGGGTAACAAATAGTAAAAGTAAATAAGGTGCAGCAAGATGGCCCAGTCCTTTTTGTAGCAAAGGACAAGCCTGGACAAACTCTTATATAAAGGAAAGTGCTCCCGAGGACACATGGGAATTATCGTCAAGCTAGTTTTCATCACGTTCATATGATTCACGTTCGGTACTTTGATAATTTGATATGTGGGTGGACCGGTGCTTGGGTATTGTCCTTCCTTGGACAAGCATCCCACTTATGATTAACCCCTATTGCAAGCATCCGCAACTACAACAGAAGTATTAAGGTAAAACTAACCATAGCATGAAACATATGGATCCAAATCAGCCCCTTACGAAGCAACGCATAAACTAGGGTTTAAGCTTCTGTCACTCTAGCAACCCATCATCTACTTATTACTTCCCAATGACTTCCTCTAGGCCCAAACAATGGCGAAGTGTCATGTAGTCGACGTTCACATGACACCACTAGAGGAGAGACAACATACATCTCATCAAAATATCGAACGAATACCAAATTCACATGACTACGTACAACAAGACTTCTCCCATGTCCTCAGGAACAAACTTAACTACTCACAAAGCATATTCATATTCATAATCAGAGGGGTATTAATATGCATAATGGATCTGAACATATGATCTTCCACCAAGTAAACCAACTAGGATCAACTACAAGGAGTAATCAACACTACTAGCAACCCACAGGTGCCAATCTGAGGCTTTGGGACAAAGATTGGATACAAGAGATGAATTAGGGTTTGAGATGAGATGGTGCTAGTGAAGATGTTGATGGAGATTGACCCCCTCTCGATGAGAGGATCGTTGGTGATGATTCCCCCCTCCCGGAGGGAAGTTTCCCCGGCAGAACAGCTCCGCCGGAGCCCTAGATTGGTTCCGCCAAGGTTCTGCCTCGTGGCGGCGGAGTTTCGTCCCGTGAGCTTGCTTATAATTTTTTCCTCAACAAAAGACTCCATATAGCCAAAGACGGGCATCAGAGGGCCACCAGGGGGCCCACGAGGCAGGGGGCGCGCCCCCACCCTCGTGGACGGTGGGTGTCCCCCCTCTGGTACTTCTTTTGACCAGTATTATTTATATATTCTGAAATGTGCTCCCGTGAAGTTTCGGGACTTTTGGAGTTGGGCAGAATATGTCTCTAATATTTGCTCCTTTTCCAGCCCAGAATTCCAGCTGTCGGCATTCTCCCTCTTCGTGTAAACCTTGTAAAATAAGAAAGAATAGGCATAAGTATTGTGACATAATGTGTAATAACAGCCCATAATGCAATAAATATCAATATAAAAGCATGATGCAAAATGGACGTATCAGTCCACGACTTAACTAACGGCGATAGGTTAAAAAAAGCCAAGTGGGCTTGGCCAGGAGGCAGGGGCTTTAATAGGCTTTCGACGACAACACATCGCACTAGGAAACGAATTGCAAGATGGGGTGCTATGAAATCAGTGTGGCCCCTCCCCGGGTAATGATGCACTATTGGAAAACGGGAAAGGAATGGCTATTACATGTCCTTGCTGGGATCTCTCTGGAAATAAGGGATAGGATCATCATGCTTATGGCATATATGGAGTTTATGCTTAGATATTGCCCATGGCAAGCCGGTATCGCCTATGGAGTCGACTATGGATTATCTTGATAGTTACTTCAAATCTCTACATCTGGCCCAGAGGTACACAACATAAGAAATTCCCAAAGGAAAGAGGTCGCTCGAGGTGGATGTCACACCTATATCACATGCGATCCCGGGGTGCAACCACTACCCCTAGGCCTCCGACGGGTTGGGTGGCACTTTCTGTGGATGGATCGTTCTCGCCGATAGATGGTAGCGCAGCGGCTGGTATGATACTAAAGAATCACGACGGATCAGTGGTTTTTCGGCACATCGTTCCTTGTTTCATGATTATAATGAAGCGTTGGAGGCCGTAATTCATGCGTTGATGCAAGGTATGACAGTGGCCATACAACATACAAACAAACCGGTGCTGGTTCAGTCCAATTCTTCTGAGGCACTATCTATCTTGTTCGAGAATGTGCTTACTCGTTCCGCACATGGAGATCTTGCTGCAGAAGTAAAACGCTGATGGAGGCCGGAGAGTTTATTCCCCAGAAGCTTAGAAGAGAGCAAAATAAGATTGTTGATCGGATAGCAAATTACTGTCGTACACAGTTTACTACCATAGTATGGATGCATACATGTCCATCTTGTATAGATAAACTTTTGCCTTTCGAATGTAACCCCGTCGTAGTGGAAAATAAAACTCCTTTTCCCTTGGAAAAAAAATCCCGACAATGTTTTCTTTTCTGACATGGCAACGACAATGTTAACTCGAGTCTCTTTCCCTTTGCGCTGTAGCTATAACAACGATCAAGATTAACCCCACCATGAGCCATAGTTGACTTCCTGCTTTATCCATCACAAACAGCTGTTGGAAAGAAAAAGAACCAACGTTTGGTCAATGCAAAAAAAAAAAAACCTGACCGCACTACCCCGAAAAAAAAGCTTTATGACCGCACTGCGTACGTCAGCATCCGACAGAGCGCCCAAAACCGGCGTGCGGGCCAGCCGCGTCAGCGTCACGAACGGCTGTCGTCAGACTCCAACTCAACCGCCGCAGGATTTGGACACGGTGCGTGTCCGATGGTGTCACCAAACGGCGACAGTTTTTCCCCGTTCTTAAATCTCATCCACCCTCCCCCTCCTCCTCCCCCCGTCCACACGCAGACCAGAGACAGACGCACGCGGCCACGGGAAGCTTCTAGATTCCGTCGAATTCCGCCGCCGCCGAACCCTAATCCCCTCGCCCGGCCGCCCCGATCCGCCCCGCGGTCTCCCGGCTCGCGGCGCCAATGGCCGACAGGGAGGAGGAGAAGGCGGAGGCCGCCGTGCGGGAGGGGGAGGAGGAGCAGGGGCAGGAGCAGCAGGAGGAGGAGGAGTACGAGAGCGACCTGGACGACGCGCCCCTCCCGGCGGTGAGGCGCCGGGCCGCGGCGAGCGACGAGGAAGAGGAGGATGAGGAGGGCGAGGGCTTGCCGTTGCCGCGGAGAGGGGCCGGATCCGGCGCGGAGTCCGACGGGCAGGGCGCCGCCGAGGAGTACGGCGAGGAGTACGAGGAGGAGTATGAGGAGGAGTACGAGGAGGTGTACGAGGATTTCGAGCAGGGGCGTGGCGGGGCGGCCGCCCAGGCGGTTGCCGCGCCGAGAGAGGCGGCGGAGGGGGCCGAGGAGGGAGGGGAAGCCAAGGAGGCGGCGGCGGCGGGAGAGGAGGGGGAGGAGGGGAAGAAGGAGAGCGAGCCCTTTGCCGTGCCGACGGCGGGCGCCTTCTACATGCACGACGACCGCTTCCAGGAGTCCCGCGGCGGCCGCGGCCGCGGAAGGTACTCGCCTTTCCGTCTTCAGATTGATTACCGCTTACTTTTTGTCCATTGAATGACTCCGCGACTTAGGATGCAGCCCAATTGCTAATTAGTGGACTTAGGCTGTATTTGCATTGCGCTCTGAATTATGATACCTGTTTTGCTTAACCTGATTTTGCTTATGAAACCAGCATTGCGATGAATTACAGCAATCCTGTTTGCCCAACTAGATTTCGTGCAGTTTACCATGTGGTTAGCCAACTTTTATCCGCTTTCGCCGCTAATTTCTACAGCGAATTGTAAAATAAGTTCGGTGCAACACAATTTGGCAACCGCAAAGTAAGCATTAGTTGCATCAAGTTTAAGCTTGTGGGGATTTATGTTTGATTAGTTTCACCCAAGTTTCCACAAAAACGTACCATGGTTACTAGTGTCGTAATAAATGTACAAAAAATTATCATGGTTACTAGTGTCGTAAATGTACAAAAATTTATCATGGTTACTAGTGTTGTAAGAAGAGACCAAACACTGATACCAGGAAACTACTCAAATTCCTGTCTTAGATTTGTCTAGATACGGATGTATCTAGTCACGGTTTAGTGTTAGACACATCCGTATCTAAACAAATCTAAGACAAGAATTTTGGGACGGAGGTAATAGTAATTAAAATGTGGTCTGTTGCCCTAAATACTTCCACATGAGAGTGATGCATGCACGGCTGTTACATATCATAGTTGTTCGTCGCATATAATAGCTGATTGTTGCATATGGAAACATGAAGACAACAAACTTTTCTATAAGTATATTTAAAATTGAATAGGGAATCTAAGGGACTTGAATTCTGGTCCTAGTCAATTAAAGTCATTCAACTAGAATTGCAGTACTGAGCTGAAACACACTTTACTAGGCTGTTCTGTACCCGAAGTCTTTCAACCAGAATTGCAGTACCAAGCTGAAACACACTTTACTAGGCTGTACCAGTAGCATTCTGTGCAAATACCACTATATATTGCCCCTGCCACCAGCGAAACCTGCAACCCCACAGGCCACAGGTTCTAACCTCCCTCTGCTGTTTATGGCACCAGTTCTGTTCATCATGGACACACTGATAATCTAATGTTGCATTATACCAGGAACAGTGATGAATACAACGGTGCAGAATTGTCAATAGAAAGTAGCAGGAAAGCATCAACCTAAAACATAATATGTGAATGCATTTAATGTATAACAGTTGAATCAAACTGGTGATGTTTTGTGCACTAGAGATTTGACAGTCAGCTTAGAAAGTACATACCTCTCCAAATTGGCTGTAGTTTATCTAGTGATGTCAACCAAAAGAAACATGCCCAAGTGTATGAACAAGTGTATGCGTTACTGAATCACACAATTTCATACAACTAGTTGGTACACACATGAAATCCATGTTAACTAGTAAATTATTAAATTTGTTCACTAGATCAAGATGCATAAGCAAAAATAGAGGTTTTCCCATGTAGCTTTGTAAGTTTGTCTGTCGCACCTGTGTACTTACCTGGAAAGTGTGGAAGCGCCTTTTTCTTCTCTTTTGCCCTGGAGTGTGTTGTATTACCATAACTTATGTAGTCCTGGCTTCTTCAAATGAAATTGGAGGCCCT